GTGTGATGAATACAGTCCTTATAGGTTATGAATGAGATACGGTAGTGGGGAGATGTGGTGCAATGGGGCTGATAAATAAGATTAAGAATTTACAAAATGTGTGTGTAAGTGCACACATTTGGTGTTCTGTGTGGGAGATTTAATCTCTAACTGTGCTACAGATATTCCTATGCAAAGATACTGTCTATTTCTTAAATGTAGGCTTTCGTGATTCTCCAAATGTACATAGCAAAACCTGTGCCTATTAAATCCAAAGCAGAGGTTTGGTAAATGCCACAACTGTGGATCTTCTGAGTGAATTGCAGCCATTCAGTCGGGAGGATAGGAGCTAAGTGGGGCTGCCAGCTGTACAGGCACACACTTTCAGAGCTGACAAGAACGCCCTCAGGATTTTACAATCTTTCAGAATTTGCATTTGTATGTCTCATCATCTGATCTTTTGGTCAAATGGTAGCTTGAAGATATTTGTATTTTGGACCCTGACAGAACACTGTCTGTCTGCTACCCACGACATGCTCGCCTCCTTTCCAGCCTTTTGTCTGGGATGAATTGGAGACAGAGGAGCCCTGGGGAGCCATTGTCACTTCTAGCACAGAACGATGGCTCTGTTGCATTCTGCACACCCTTGGGCACGATGCCAACTGCAAATGAGGAAACAGTTTTTCAGTCTTTCAGTCTTTCTCTTCCTCGTTTGTTTCATGCATGCGGAGTCGTTTTGCTTTTTTTTCAATAGCCTTGAATCATGGCACACTTAAATGTTTATCTTTTCCTGTAGGCATTTCTGTGCACACGCGAAGATGGATGCTGATATTTAGGGAAAGCTCCTCCTCAGCTGATACTTGTTAACATGCTCTGAGACAGCTCTGATTGTCCTGGAGATGTAGATGAGAGCAATTGAGCTTAAACTGCCATTAGTGGACTTAATAGAAGCTAAAAGATGGATGTGAAGTGCTGAGCTGTAAGAAGTCTTTCTATTGTGAATTTATCAATAACAGGGGGAACGGTGTTCAGAAACAGATGTTCACCAGTGAAAAGTAGTCAATATCCTCCTTTCCTGAAGCAGAAGTAGGTAAATAAGCGGGGATAATGTCAGGAAACAATTCACCTCAAACTATAGAAAATAGTGTTGTTATTCTGTTGTGCTTTCTTATCTCTCTTTATCACTGCTTACGCTGTAAAACAGGAAAAAAAAAGAAGAAAAAAAAAAAGAAAAAAAGGAAAAGAATGCAGCTTGTGATTATGAGCAAGGCAATAAGTGGAGTTTCACTGTGTTTTTCAATAGCTTTGTTTTGTTGAAAACAAATAACGTGTTTCTAAGGCATATAGTAATGTTAGGACTAGCATTTCCCTTCACCTCCATCCCCTGAGGCTTGGCAGTTCATTTCCTTTCCTCCCAAGCCATTGGGATATTGGGCAAATAACTGTGCAGCTATGGCTGCCAACCCCATTTGGATAGATGTCCGTTCAGTTCCGAAAGCTTAACTTCTTTTAATCTGAAGTTTCCCAGTACAGAAGAAGGAGAATGACATTTGGTACGTGTTGTAAGTTTTGAATGTGTTATGGCCAAAGAAAATTCCTGTACATGGATGGTTAAGTTCTAGTTAGTGTTGAAAGTTTGATTCTGTTGTCCAAATATTTATAGAAGCCATGAAATAATGACATTCAGATGCATTGTTTGTGTTTCAGCAATCATCTTTCACCTAACACAAAGACCTGTGAAACTGTCCCAGACAAAAAGGATAGAGAATTTTGTGTCTAAATATTTTTGTTCTTGCAATGTTTACTGCTATGTTGGAGTCCAAGTAGCATAACATGCCAGGTTCATTTGGAGCTCACTTGAAAATTTATGAACTGTAGTGAAATTCTAGAAGATTTTGGCAAGATCTACAGACTTTCAGTACGACTTCCCAAGTAAACATTAAGTGTGAGCACCGTTTTTTTTTCTCCAGTTAATAGTGAATGAAGAGCTTCTAGTTTCTTCTTGATGAGGGTTTCTCTGTTCTTGAGGTTGTGGTATCCACCAAATGTGAAAGTTGTCTTCTGGGTGTGTGCATGCTCTATTGAGGGCATGTATTTCCTTGCTTAGGGTAAAGCCTTTGTAGCTGAATTTTAAGAGACCGTTTCTTTGTCCTTGTTTCAGAAGTGACTTTTGAGTTGATTTCGAAATCATTTGTGATTTGCTTATTTGTCACTCTGATATGGAGATCTGATCAAATGTGATTAATAATACTGTCAATTCATTGCTTTGGAGATTTGATTTAAATACTGATTAGACAAGGAAAATTACATTGTTTGACCCATAATTCTTATGGGAGTATTACTTTGGGCTTAAGCAGTAGGCCCGTTGTGCTTTAATTTTGCTGATTTTCTGCTGAAAATCAGCGGAGTATTTTTCTGCATTTTATTACCAGTGTAGTTTTAAAGAGAGGGGGCAGATGGGTAGCTGATTGGAAGCCTGGTTTGCCTGTCTCCAGCAGCCAAGGTGCACATCACTTGCGGGAGGCATTTTGCTTAGAGTCAACTTCCAGCCACATTAGCGTGCCTGATATTTGAGAGTAATTCTGGGTGTCTTTTCTATCAAAGCAGAAGTGATGTGAGCTCATTGCTCACGTGTTAAGTAGATTTTAAGAAAGTGTTACTTTTCATAAGCTTCCATAAATGATGAAGCTGTCTTTACCTTTTCTGGTTGCATGTGAACAATAGAGGGGTTGTTGTAGGAAAGTGAACATTGTGCTGATGGGCTGATGGTTAATCTAGATAATCTTAGAGGTCTTTTCCAACCTGAATGGTTCTGTGAATTAGGAAGCATTTCTTCTCAGAGTGGTGATGCAGTGGCAAAGGCTGCCCAGGAAGGAGGTGGAATAACCATCCCTGGAGGTGTTCAAGAACTGTGGAGATGTGGAACTGTGAACATGGGTTCGTAGTGGTGATGAGTTAATGCTCGTACAGGATGGTCTTAGAGATCTTTTCCAATTTCAATGATTCTTTGATTCTATCATTCTAAAAGCGTGTGTTACTGAGGGGAAAGCTGCTTGTTGAGACCATTGTGTTCTGATCAGACCCTACAGGCTCCTGTTGGTTGATGTTTCTTCAGTTACTGTTGGAATGACTGAAGAACTGCAAACAATAATTGTTCAATTAATTAAGACTTTCTTGGATTACAAATACCTACCTGCTGGAGCTGCAGCACTTCAGAAAACAATCTGTGGCATTGTGAGGTTCCTAAGTCCAGTCATTCACAGGCTCTGCCTGACTTGAAAAGGAGTGATGTTGATGTGTTTAGGATTCTGAACTCAAAGTGACAAAAATAACTTATCCCATTTACATCTGTACCACACACATTACAGGTGGGGAGGTCAGTACTGGTGATGCTGACAGGCAATGGTTCGTCAGGCCTGAGCAAGGTACTTTCTCTGGCTCTTCCAGAGAAGCTGGCTGTGATTTGGGCTCTCTAAGCAGCGCAGTGATTATGCTGACACTTCCCTAACATTGGTTTTACAGTAACGGATGTTAATGCTGAATATAGTCTGCATTGTTCTGATAATGACATCAGGATAAAACATGATGCAAATGTGTTAGTGTAGCCAGAGGGAACTGGAATTATTTCCTGTCATTCAGGAGCACATTATTCAAATAAAGCTGCTCAGTTCCAGGTCTGGTAGGAGTAGCTGAGTAAGCTGGATTTATTCATCTGTCTGCTCATAGCAGTAGGAGCTTTGAGACTAAGGCTGCACAGTGCAAATCAGATGCTAATTTTCTTTCTTTAGATGGGAAAAATCCATACCTCTTTCAGAGTTATTCTACTCTTTAACCTTGGATTTAGCACTTGTGTCAGTATGGGTATGTTTCTTTCTTTCATCATTTGGGGAGAGGGGGGATTCCTTGCCCTGTGTCTGATTCATGAGTAAGTGCAGTGTTTCTAATTGTTCTTCTGAAATGAGATTTTCTGTTTGAATGCATGGCTGCAGCTAGGGCACTTCAAAGCCTCCGAATGAGGCAGCTGGGATTAACCACCCTATCAATGACCACCAGCACTCTGGCAGGATAACTGACAGAAAAAGGGCATTCATTCATCCCAGGGCAAACCAGAGAACCCCAGTTATTGGCAGGATCAGTTCTCTATTTTTAATGCCAGCTTTATGGAACACTGGAATTGCGTATTTTTTAAATGAAAAAATCGTATCCTTCAAGGAAATTTTTTGTTTTTCCTTTCCCCATCAAAATTCGTCTTAATATTATTGTTCAGTCATGTAGCATTATTGATTATTCAGATTTATTGAAAAAGCAATTTATATTAGATAAACTTCAAACGTTTTATATATATATATATATATATATATATATCAGGGAAATTCAAATGTTGCATTTGTGAGCACTGGAAATGAATGCAGAGGAAGAGAGATGCAAGTGCGGCAGCAGATGTACATTTGGGCTCTATTTCTCCTCTTCAGAGTGCATCTGGGGAACATGGATTCCCTGGGTGAATCATTCACTGCTCCAGGACAGCTCTGTGGCATACTGAACTTCTGTGTCCTGTGCTCAGTGTGACGTAGGATGGAATCCTCAGTTACAGACATGAAATCACAATGTTTATCTCGTAGTCAGTACGTATTTTACTCTGTATTCTATACAGCAGACCTCAAATGGCCCTAATGGAACTTTATGTCTGGTAATGCCTGCGTATATGGGCAAGGTTACAGCTCTGTAGTGCTATCTTCTGTGCAAGCACAACAGGTTTGTAGTAACCTGTATTATTTTTCTTTCATGAAAATAATTTATTTTGTGGGGACTAACACTAGAATGCTAGAATCACAGAAACAGCATTTCTGGTTCCCAAAAATACAGAACTGGTAAACTCTCCTCAGCTATTGAACTCTGTAGCCTAAAATGACAAGAATTCATATTTTAAAATGGAACTGACTGTGTTTCCTCAATATTCTGATGTTTTACAGCTTGGGTTTCTGTCTTCCTTCCCAACCCCCTTCCCTTCTGCACAACAGGGATTTGGGAAACAAGTGGATGTGTCATACATTGCCAAGCATTACAACATGAGCAAAAGCAAAGTTGACAACCAGTTCTACAGTGTGGAAGTGGGTGACTCGACCTTCACTGTTCTCAAGCGCTACCAGAACTTGAAACCAATTGGCTCTGGGGCTCAGGGAATAGTTTGGTGAGTATCAGCACTTTCTCTTTGCTTTTCAGTAGGATTTGCCTTTTGCATTTCTTCACACTTTGCTAGTCACAGATATTGTCCACAATTGCAAAAATGAGCATTGGGCAACAAACATCCTGAGGCAAAAGAAGTCTGATAAATTCTGCTGCTGGTGAGGATGTTAGCATGGGATTTGTTTCTCCACATAGCAAAACGCAACTAGCAAGGGAGAAAGAGAAAGAACCTGACTGCACTTGACAACTGTGACACTATTTCCAGAGGCAGTGCAAATTACATCCTGGGTAAACCCTGTAATTTCAGTATTCATGCAGAAAAAAATCAGAGAGCGCTGTGTAGAAACTGGTCACGTCTAGAGCATTCTGCAGCATCTGCATTGGAAACCTTTTGCAGCAAGGTAGCTGCTAATAAGTTCTCAAACGGGAAAGGGCTAAATATAGCTTAAAATGGGTCAATTAAAAACAGCAAAAATAAAATAAAAATGAAGTCTTTTTCTTTAAAAAAAAAAAAAAAGGCAGTTAAGCTAAGTAAGATCTGTAACATAACTTGAATTTGTCTTCTATACTAATAGTTGACAGGAGATGTTAGGAATGCCCAAGGACAGAAAGTCAAATGAGAAAACAAGAAAGCTGACGTGGAAAGTACTGCCAATTTTCCTAAATGGCTGAGCAATACTTTGAGGCCATAAAAGGCTGTACAGTTTCATGGGACAGACGGAGAAGAGTTATGTGACTGATAGGGTAGATCATCATTTCTGTGTAGCATGTGCCATGTTGCAGTCTACCTGTTGTGAGTCATAATTTACCAGAAAGGCATGAACAAGCTGAGAGTAGCACATTAAGAACCTATGGTAAAGCAAGAATTTGGTGGGAACTTCCAGCTTGCTGAGTGCAATGAGGGTTTACCCAGCTGTTAGAGACTGCTTTAGTGTATGTCAGGAGTTGTTAATTATTGAGTGAAAAAGGTAGATTATTACTGCTAAATGCCAGGTCCACGTTCAGGACAAAACTGCTGCCAGCAGTAACAGCAGTTGTCCAGCTTTTGGTCTTGTCCAAATTTTCAAAGCTCATAAGAAGCTTTGCTTGTGCTGGGAGAGCTGATTGCTGAGAATGGTTTTCTGCTTTGCCTGGCACTTGATCTCAGAATGGCAGTGCCCACATCCTCAGAAACAGGAACCTTTCTTGTAGTAGTTGGTCAATAATTTGGTATCAAACCCTTCAGTACCGATTAGCTACACAATACACTTTCATCTTCTGTGTCAGGGACTGCCTCAGCAGTCACTTCAGGACCAGATTCCATCTGCTTGCAGCAGCATCGCTTTTACTAACCTGGAGGTGATGTCCCCAGTGCCTCCAGCTTGTCTTACATGATTCTATGGGTAGATTTCAGCAAGAGAATTTGCATGGACAGTAATACCTCTCATGGAACAGTAGTGGGCATAGGAAGCAGGGAATGTGGCTATAAAAGAAGCAGGGACTTGGTCTTAATTCGTTATCCTGAAATTTACATCAAGGATAAATCCATTTTCCTGTTGTGGAAACATTACAGTAAAGGTATACAGTTCTTCAGGAGCTGATAATTTACTAAAGATCTGTGAAAAAGAGAAGCTATGTGACGTGTTTGTTATAAATGTCATTGTGCCCATGTGAAATAACTAAAAACTTGGTGAGCAAGTGTGGCTTTGGACATCCTGTGCTTGGTATCTTGTGAAATTGGTGTGGGAACTTTCACTGGGATTTGCGCTAGCCATGTTCACAAAATGGTTTTTGCCAGAAGGAGAAAAGAAAACAGCCTGGATTCTGAGCAGGGATATTCCTACTACTGATGACAGTACAGACTGCTTACTGTAAATCTCCCAGATGTCTGTGAGGAAGAGTGGTGTGCTTTTGTAAAATTGTTGTGGTATTGTAGATGTGATGACAATGAGACTTGGACGAAGCAGTTTATAATTTATTGGACTAAGTGTTGTCAACGTACTTTGACTTTTGGCCATGAGTTTTAGGTCTGCAGTAGAAACAAAAAAAAACTTCAAAGATAAAATGAGTTGAGCATGTTTTTCTGGTTTTAATTAAGTATGTCCTATCTTAGTGACTGAGAGAACAGGGAACTGATACCTTTCTGCAGTGCTGGAGGAGGAAAGGTAGCAACTGCCTTATTTTAAGGGAGAGCAAGAGACAGATCACCTTGGGCCTGTGGATATGGACATTTAGACAAAGGAGAGGTATTCTCATGTTGCATAAAATCATCAGAAATAGACTGATGTTGGAGCCAGTGTATTTTCATGTATATTTCGTGCATTTTCATTTGAATGAATGCTGTTTTTCTGGATGCAAGTTATATGTAGAATATCTGCACTGGCTTTCAGTTAACCATTTTGATACTGTCTGTGATATTTTTCACACTGCCTCTGGTTTGTAGAAAAGTTATGCTGTACTGGAATATTTCAAAAACAATTTGAAGGAGCTAGGAGGGTACTTGAATTTACGGTGGAATTAAGGAGAAGCCTCAGTCTTCCAACAGACATCACTTATACACTTGAGGATGCAAGCAATTAAGAACATAGTGGTTTCTTGTGAAGAAACTTGGTCTGGCTAGGACCATGTGGGTGCTTATAGCTGTTTCTATTATCACAAGACTGTGTTGTCTGGGCAAGGTGAGCCAGATGATGTCTTTCACTTGAGATCCAGAATGTTTTATTTTTGGATTTTAGTGAAGAGTGAAAATAGGCTTTTGTACTGTAGATTGTTGGAATACAGCGTAGTGGAGTGTCAGCTGGAACATGGTTTATGCTTCATAGGTTGTTTGAGAAGTTTGTGTGTCTTGGAAAAATGCTTTTGAGCATGAAGGATGCGTTGAAGATGGTTTTTAAGAGATCTGGTAGCTGTTCAGATCACAAGCTGCCTAATAATAAACTGAATCACAGTATTATAGAATTGAGTTGGCGGGGACCCTTAGAGGCCATCTAGTCCAACTCCCCTGCAATTAACAGGGATGCCCATAGCTTGATCAGATTGCTCAGAGCCCAGTTCACCCTGACCTTGAATGTCATCAGGTATGGGGCTTCCAGCACCTCTCTGGACAACCTGTGCCAGTGCCTCATCACACTTAATGTACTTACTTAATGTAAAAAACTTCTTCCTTACATCCAGTGTAAATCCTTCTCCCTTTTAGTTTGAAACCACTATCCCTTATTCTTTCACAACAGACTCTGTTAAAGAGTCTGTCCCCTTTTTCTTATAGCCCCCATGTAGATATTGAAAGGCAACTATCAGGTCTACCCAGAGCCTTCTCCAGGCTGAACAGCCCAGTTCTCTCAGACTGTTCTCATAGGAGAGGTGTTCTGTCCCTTGGATCATTTTTGTTGCCCTCCTCTGGACGCTCTCTAACAGGTCCATGTCTCTTCTGTACTGAGGATACCAGATACGGACAGAGTACTCCAGATGAGGCCTCACCACAACACAGATGTGTGATTTTCCTAGAAGAAAAAGTATGTGCTTTCAGAGGAGAAATTAAGTGAACAGCGTATCGAGATATACCTAGAATCAACCTGGCCGCAAAAGGAGTGGTGGTGTAATATTGCCACTTTGCAGTGTTTTGTGAGTCAGAATGTTGTTTTCAGACTAGGAAGAGATTTTCAGAAGAATTTCAACAATTTGTCTTTGTACATGCTGGTATTTCATTCTGGGGGAGACTGAAATAGCAGTTACAAATATTAGTGATTAAAAGTATTAGCACTGCAGGGGAAGAGCAATTTTGAAGTATTTATAAGTGTCTTCAAAAAGCATCTTGGACATTAACCTAGAGTGTTCTTTTCTTTTTAAGCATGAAGGATGCTATGTATGTAGACAAGTGATTGCTTGCTCCTTCAAATGACTGAACTCTCACACAAAATCACTGGTAAACAGTGATCCAATTTATGGTTATCTGTATAAATTCATGAGCCTGAAATGAGTTTGATTTGCTGTTTTCTTTTTTCTTTTTTCTTTTTTTTTAATGGAGCCAGCAAAGACTCATTAAGTAGCTGAAATTACTCATGAGTTTTGATAAATTTATTGTCACATCTGGCTAAATTTTTTCTCCACTAAATTGTTTCACATTATTTAAAAGACAGTTTTAACACTCACTTTTACCTTAAAAATAAGGGATTTACCTTAAATGACAATTTAAAATGTCATAAACAGTTGCTGGGGAAGAGTTTATTTATTGTGTTTTACTTCTGCACAGCTGCCAGAGATACAATGGTAAACTTGGAAAAAAAATTTTGAGCTTATTATAAAATAACATTTTATAGCAGGACCCAGGGTTGAATTATGGTACTCGTTACCAAAATAAATCAGCTCTATAAATTCATAAATAATTTTGTAGGTGAGCAGAGTGTTTTAATACAGTTCATAGAGAAAGGAGCCCAGACTTTGTGATGTGTGTCCTGCCCATTATTGGAGATCTTGGCCTTGCCTTTCACAAGCAGCTTTCTCAGAGTAGTTCTCAGGCACTCGTTATTCTCTCTTACTCCTGCTCCCCTAAGCCACCTGTTTAGATAACACACTTATGCCCATGATTGAAGATTTTCTTAGGAAGGCTGGTAGGTTATTGGTGCTAACCTTGGTGTTTCAAAGGAAGGACTTCCTCTACAAGCACCAGAGAGAAGGCCCACATGTAGGACCTGTGATTTCATTGTGCTAAGACGCAGCACTAGCTGTTGGTGAACAAAAGCTTCTCTCCAGTGAGTAGGAAAAGGCATCAGTGTTATTAATTGACTCAGTGCAATGAAGTCCCATATTTATTTCTTAAGGTAGTTGGACACCTGTTTGATGGAAGGCGAGGAGAGAACTGCAGTTGAGATCCCAGTGTCTCAAAGTGAATACCACTGTACAAAGGATTATTGGGGTTTTTTTTTCTTCTTCTGTAGTTGAGGAAGAAGCTGTTGTGTTACATGGTGGACTGGGAATAGATTGTTCCCAAGCGCTTACAAAGGCGTTGCAGATTTTAAATTGGTGCTTTTGTATCTCCTGCCTTGCCTGAGAGAGAAAAACTCAGAAAAAGTGAGCAAACAGGACAGAAGCAGATTGGATGCAAGGAAGATGTTTTTTACGCAAAGGATGGTGAAGCACTGGCACAGTTGACCAGAGAGGTGGTGGATGCCCTGTCCTTGGAGACACTCAAGGTCAGGCTGGATGGGGCTATGAGCAACCCAATCTAACTGCAGATGTTTACTGCAAAGGAGTTGAGTTAGATGACCTTTAAGGGTCCCTTCCTACTCGAGTGATTCTCTGGTTCTATGATTGTCTTTTTTAAAGATGCTGGGTGATTAAGCAGTGTGAATTAGCTCAGACATTTGTCTGTTGAGATATATTTTCAATAAATGTCCTTAAATGATGGATGTGGAACAGTTAGCTATTCAAAGATACTGTTTTTAAACTCCTCTGACTTTCTGTTTCCATAAAACGTATTATTTTATGAACAGAATAAGGATATTTTTGTCTTTGCTTTCATGATGTCCCATTGTGATGAACCCAAAAGAGAATGAAAGCCACAAATCCACCATCATGTCTCACATTTCTCACTATCTCTATTAATCAATTGTTCCTTTTTGGGTACATATTTGGTGTGCTTCTGACGTAGGAGTAGTGTTACTGGGAATCACAGAGTGGAGAAGGAGAAGACATTTCAAAGTAGACATTACCAGCACTTTTTGGTGTGCTTGTAAATTTCTGTTGGCCTTGTTACTCAGCTTCTGATACTTGTGTGCTTTCTGCTTTGTACACAGTTAGTAGGATAATGTGAGTAAATATCTACAATACACAAGGATTAATAGGAAAAAACGTGATTTTGGAGAGTTGCTCTGGTGCTTCGGGTTGTCGTTGCTTGAACAACAAGAAGTGATTTAGTAGAGTTACCCTATGGGGAATGCAATGCTGTTTTTCTTGCTGCAGCAAAAACATTTAGTAAACCTTTCCACATTCTTGGGAAAAGGAATAATCAGGAATGGGATCTGAGGACTGTTTTAGTCTGAGAATATTTCAAACTTGCATTTATAAAATGCAGAAGCTGGAATTTGAGTCATCATATTTGGGCAACCGGAATAATTGGTTCAAACTCATAAGAGGTAAAAATTATCAAAATACGTGAAAGTTGTGCAAAATATTTTGAAACTTAAAAGGAGAATTTGAAAAGCCTATTTTTAAGAGACCACTTTGCAAACCAAAGCTGAATTTCTTCATGTACTCAATTTTTTTTAATTAAGCATGCATAACAATTTATTTTCTTTATGAAAAGGAAACGAGAAAGAAATTTTGAGAAATAGTCCTGTTTCCAGGCATGTAATTGGAACTGGATGATATGGTCTAAAGGAATGATTAAATTATTTGATTCCATTAGAAAATGTGATAAGGAAAAGACTAAATGAATTCCAAATAAAAACGGAGAATTGTTCATTAAGACACTTGGTGAACATGTCCTTAATCAGGAGTTTTAGAAGCCTTTCTGATGTTCCCACTACACTGAGCTGCTTTGCTTTGTCCTCCAGTTCTCACTGTACTTTTACTTAGAGTTAATTAATCTTTTATTTCTATCCCTTAAAAATAAAGGTTAGACTCCTAAGAAACTGGTTGTCAGAAGTACGGGTGCATGCTCTTCCTTGCCGATGTGGTTCCTTTCACTGGTTTCTTTCCTCTCACTAGACAATCTCTCCTTGTCCCAGAATTTTCTTCAAGGAAAGGAAAAATGGAAATAGCAGTCTTGAGGCTCAGGAATTTGCCGTAGGAAATGAAAGATTTCCTTTACAATGTATAACCCCTGTGTTTGTCATGATTGCAGTGCTGCATATGATGCCATCCTTGATAGAAATGTGGCCATTAAGAAGCTCAGCAGACCATTCCAGAACCAAACCCATGCCAAGCGTGCTTACAGAGAGCTGGTCCTCATGAAGTGTGTGAATCACAAAAATGTAAGTTTTATGCAGGGAGTCAGACTGGTGTTTCGGTTCGTTCAGAAGAAAACTCTTATTTTGGGGGTCTTTTTTAATTTAAAATTTAAAATTAAAAAAGAGAGAAAGAGAGAAATGAAAAGTAAACTGATCAAGGGCTGCTTTTTCACATAGGTGAGTGGTTTTCTTTCATGTACATCTGTGAAGACTGTGCCGAATGGGAGCCCTGATAGGAGAGTAGGGATGATGGAAGGAGAGAGAGCAGAGCATGTTTTTCTCTACTGTTTCTCTGGAAATAGGGAAGTGTTTGTTGGCGTTCTGGCTCGAACCACTTGTCACTGAGTATGAGACTCAAAGAGGTGTCTCTTGAGTTGGGATACCCATGCTCAGGTATCACATGTTGATCAGGACTTCACTTGTCACTTTAGCACCCTCTCCCCCATCTCTAGGCATTGATTTATCCCTCTGCTCTCAGTGTGTCCATGTGGGCTGTTATTGTGGATCGATCCTCAGTCAGTTTTTTAATTGAGCCCTCAACATTCAGAGGACTCCTTCACCCTGAGCATGTGGCTAGTTATCCATCATCACTAATCCTTCTCTTAGAAACAAATAACAATTTGTTGAACAACTTGAAGACATCTTGGAGATCTGAGGCATTTTATTTTGAATACTACTGACTTCTTACTGAGTCATGATGTGCTCAGGTGTTGGTATTAATCGAGAAGTGAAAAATAGATTTTATATTTCAGTATGTGCTTCAAAATGAGTTTGACTGCTTTATCTTTATCACTTCTATTCCTCCTTTTGCTTTGCTCTGTCTTTCAGATTATCAGTTTATTAAATGTCTTCACGCCACAGAAATCTCTGGAGGAGTTCCAGGATGTGTAAGTAATACGGGAAGTAATTAAACCAAAGCTTTTGAGATGCAGTGTTCTAGTGTACCATGAATGCAATAACTCAGCAGAACACTTAGCAGGTTATGAGCCTCTCTGAAAAATGTCCATGAGTAGTCTGCACTGTGATCGGACAGCTATCTGCATTCCTGTGTTCAAGGTATCTGTAAGGTGCCAATACTGGGTTTCTGATGTGCTAGAAGTGTGCAGCAATTTACTCCAAAATAATTTCCTGTAAGAGAGATTGATGCGGAACATCCTTCATGTTTGCGTTGTAATAGCCTCTGACTGCCTTTAATTGCTTGCCTGGGTAACTCATACTCAGTGGAGAGGACAACTGCATCTCTGCTGGGCATACTCCAATTGCAAAAGCTCTGCTGTGCAGAGTATGAAGCTGCACCAAATGGAACTACAAACAGTGCAGTGTAGCTCTATTCCTTTTAGCTTTCAGTCTTACCCATATCTTGTATGCGTGGTATGGAAACATATTCCTATTCTGTACTCGGATATTCAGTTGTGATGAGACAAATAGTTGTCAGAGTTGGGCAAGGATGGTTTTAGTATTAGTATATGAATGTTCTGCATTGTATTGTTCCTGCAGACATATGCAGAGCACAGGAGGTAACCAGTGCTGGAGAGAAGATGAGGCGTGCATTTCACGTAGAAACAGAAAACTGATGTTCTCCCCAAAGTTTGCTGTCATGTGGCAATGAGGATTAAGTGGCGCACAGAAGTTGAGCAATTTGTGATCACATAAGCTGTGCTTCTGAGATGTCTGCCGATGTGTTGAACCTTATAACTTCCTTCTGAAGGGGAGTGGGTTCAGGTTTTGCTGAGGTTGTCAATGAAGTTTATTTGCTAGAAGCTCAGGACCAATAATTGAGTTAAGCCATGTAGTCTTAGGAGGAGTCTGGAGATATTTCATATGTGAATGCATGTTGGAGCTGCTCACACTGCACTTGGTTTCTGCATGTGCTGTGGGAGCCATTACTGAAGGCCAAGCGGTCATGACATGGGACGCTTGTGACTTCTCTGACATTGTTAGTTACTGGAGGCAATGCTGTGGTTCTTCTCAACACAGCTGATAACCTTCCTGGCTTTGCTATTCCATTCAGTTACCTGGTGATGGAGCTGATGGATGCCAACCTGTGCCAGGTGATTCAGATGGAGCTAGACCATGAGCGAATGTCCTACCTGCTGTACCAAATGCTCTGCGGCATCAAGCACCTGCACTCTGCAGGAATTATTCACAGGGTAAGGAGACTCCAGTTTGCAACTCAGTGTGGCAAATGCCATCCTTGTGGAGACTTTGGAAACCTGTTGAGTTTCTTGTGTGTCTAAGCCCTACCCCAGTAAAATCACTGTGCATTTACCAATCACATCCCATCCCATTCACAGAGTTGCTTCATGTCTGTTTTAGAACTGTCCTTAGGAAATGTGCTTATCAAAAATAATGATAATAATCACCAATATGCACTGGAAATCACCAAAGCGATTATGATCTCTGAAATGTCTACAGAAATGTTATTGCTCCTTAAAATGTGGCTGTGAGTGTGGGAGATAGCAGTGTGATCCTTAACAACAGAAGATCAGTTTGTGTGACTGGGAGTATATGAGGCAGTGCTGAATGGATTATAAACATCCCTATTCTTTATTACAGTGGTCTGGTTCTAATTTTGTATTTCCAGATGAAAAAAAATAAAATATGTCCCTTTCCTTATGAATGGAAGAGCATAGGGCTACTGAAATGGTTCACAAGAGGAATGTTGCCTTATAGTAAGCAAAGGTTTTATTTCTTGCTATGTTGTATGTACGTAAGAAGATGTGGATATGGTTTCAAGATAATTTCTGAGAAAGGATGAGTTGAATTCTTATTAAAACAAATGAAGCAGTAAACCATCTCCACATAAGACAGATGGAATATCTCTGTGAGGCTGACAGCATTAAAAAAAAAAAAAAAAAAACCACAAAATAATACTTTAATACTCATCTGAACTTCTCAAGCAGCCCAATGAAGTTATTTCACACCAGTACAGCCCCAGGGTATGCCAAATGGACAACACTTTTTGCAAGATATTGCAGAGAAACAGGCACAGAGTTTTTGCTACATGCTTGTGAGTGATTTCTGATAGAAACCACTGATCAGTGCAAGAGTATTTTAAGGGTGACCTGAAAAATCAGTGTCAATCCCTGCCGTAGCTATGGCTTTATGCACTCTTTTCACTCTTTTACAATCTTTTGCAGGATTTAAAACCAAGTAACATTGTGGTAAAATCTGACTGCACGCTGAAGATTTTGGATTTTGGGCTGGCCAGGACTGCGGGCACCAGCTTCATGATGACTCCGTACGTGGTGACACGGTACTACAGAGCTCCGGAGGTCATCCTGGGAATGGGCTACAAGGAGAACGGTAGGGCTGCATGTCGGAGCACACAGGTGTGAGGTGGATCTGTGGCTGTAGGGGCACCAGGAGGAGAAACAGAAAATGTATCAGGAAAAGACATCATGAATATAAAAGGCAGGTGATGGGGAGGAGGTTCTTGTTCTTGGGTCTGCAGGAATCTACTGTTTTGGGGGTGTAATAGTGGATGGAGTTATCAGTGTGGGAATAATGGGAAACCGTTCTTAGTTATTGTTGAGCTAATCAAACACAAAGAGCCCTTTCCAAGCACCAGGTGTTTTGCTTCTGTGGCTATGAAGGTGCAAACTCCTGGGACTAATGCGCAAGGGATTTGGGGCTGGGTCTCTGCATTGTTTGAGGAAGGAAGAAGCTGAAGTAGAGAATCCTGGCCCTTCTCTGATTCCTCCAAACCTGGGAGTATATCTAAATTTCAAAACCAATTTCTATCTTTATGATAGATTTAACTGAAGTTGCAGATTTTGCTGACTGAATTAATGTGGCTGAGATCTAGGTGTAAATTCTGTAGTTTGAGTCTCTTCTTAACAGAAAATAGAGTTGGAGAGGAGAAAGGGAAAAAAAAAACCTGAAGTTTAAAATAAAGAGAAATCATTCATCTATATTTGCATCCAGATGTAATTTCTATCCTGATGTGAGTGGTGCTTTGCTCTGAAGAGTCCAAGAGGGAATTAGGGAACTCTTGGTCCCTGGAAACGTTGGGAAGAGCAGGGAGGGTGCACATGCTACGGAGGAACAAGTATGGACAATGTACATTTTGCAAGGAATGAAGGGGAGACTTTAAACATTATTCTCATTTTACACCTAAACTCAGAGTGCCAGATAGACTGAGCAGGGAAGCAAGGAATAAAGCATGCAGTGGAGAAAAGTGCCCGGTCTCAGGTTCTGTCCTCAGAAGCTGCCACTCCTCTGTTTGACAGAGACTTATCAGAGACAGAGGTCTTTGCATTAATTGTTTGTGATGACTGTGAGTTCACAGTGAAGATTTTAATGTGAAAATCAAGAAAGTAGACAGCTATTGAGTAGATTCTAACAGTACAGAAAAATATTTATAAAGAGAGAAATATTTCTTGAAGGACTTTTATGAGCATCACTATTGACTTGACCTGGGCTCGGCATGCTTTACAGCTCCTTACGCCAAATACTCACTTGTTTTTTCTTTCAAAAAGTAGTAAATAAGTCTTTGTTGTTGTAATCGTCCCTGAGAGGGCAGAGAATGCACTCAGTTCTCAAAATGACAATAAGAAAATCTCAGGGACATTTTTGTGATGAAGTGTAGAGCTGGGAAAATTCTGTGAGTTGTTGCCATATCTCCCAGGGAAGGAACAGAAGGGCTGCTCTCTGCTCCCTGCTCCTGTGCTGCCACATTACTGAAGCTCCCCTCCTTTTTTCCCCTTTCTATGCCCATTGCCTGTATAAGGACTCTTCACTGCTTTCATTTTCTCTCTGCACTGGGTTGGCTAGAGATGTACCATTAACACTGGTTTGCTATGCTTCCTGGGGAAGCTCCCAGAGCCATCACTGTGAAGAAAACTGCTGCAGCCTCAGGCATGCCCCTGCTTGTCCTGTGCCCCATACCCTGTACCCTCCTTCCCAAATGGAACGTTTCACCTTTATTTTGTTTGACCAAGAGATGAGTTGTTTGTTTCCTTGGTTTGTTTTGGACTACTTTTGAAGGTTAAAAAGGGAGAAGAAAAATAAGAGAAAGTGACCTTGGATATAAAAAATGGCCACAAAGTGAGAATGTAAAGCAGTTTTTAAGGCAGCTTTTCCCCCTAATGCTGAATCTGGATTTTTTCTTTCTAAGCACACTGTGCCATCCTGTAGTTGACATTTTTTTTCTTACAAGACTTGAAGGGGAGAAAAAAAACACTCAATTCAAGCATATAATGTGACTGTGTTCATTACCCTAATGCCTGAATGTAGGATCAGGAGGAGAAGAAACAGTCTTGTGGGTGCTTGACTCACAAAACAATGATCTATTTTAGCATTTATTTTGAGTACCAATGGAGTAAAGGAAGGTTGCAGACCAGTCTTATGCTCTGGTTCTTTCCAGTTGTTATGTAGGCACTGACAGGCACGTGCTGATATGGATAGAATGTGGGTTCAGATCCTCAAGCAACAGTTGTAGATAGCCCCTAAGTGTGGTACTTATCCACATGGCCTTTGCTTCCAGGAGTAGTTCCATTGGGAACCTCCTATGAGCTGCCACAGGATGGAGTCCACAGACTCTGCAGCTGCACATGGCCTTTGCTCGGACAATCACTGCCTGGGCTGTTGGCTTTGCTTTTTCATTTCAAAACAGATTGAGTTTTTTTCACTGTAAACTCAGCATACGCCATGATTTGGTGCAGTTGTTACTGGCTAATATTGAGCCTTTTTCCAACAGTATTGCTTTTGATTTTCTTGCACCATTGTGGCTCACTACCACCGAGCCAACTGACACAGCTTGTACTTATGTGTTTGAGCTTCTGTGAGATGTGGGGAAAGAAAAAACTAAAGACAAAATGACTGGTACTGCTCTGCTCACCCTGCTCTTTGTCCCCTGCTTTAGGAGTGAAATGTCATAGTTAACTTTGCTTTTTTTCCTCCTTCTCCACCTCCTGTCTCTGCTGTCCTAGTGGATATATGGTCTGTGGGATGCATTATGGGAGAAATGGTTCGCCACAAAATCCTCTTTCCAGGAAGGGATTGTATCCTTGTGCTATGTGCTGCAGCTTCACCCATCATTTGTTCCTCTCCTTCACCCACCCCCTTTGCTATGTAACAAATGTACCAGGATTACAAAGATAGCAGCAAGAAATTGAATCCCAGCGGTATGAGTGAACAGAAATAACGCACTGCTGATATGGACAACATAAAAAATGAAAAACAAATGCACAGAATATTTCAGCCAAAGAAATTATTTTAATGGCTGTAATCATTTCACTTTATGTAATTCTTATGTGATACTTATAAGCAACATAGGAAACAAGCATTATGATTGCAAATTGGATAGCTTTGCTTGTTATTCTTCAAAGGAAAAATATGGAAAAAAAGATCCTATTTTGTCCCTTCTGGTTCCTATAACTCTGTTTTTCTGCTTCAGTGATTTGGAAACAATGACATTGTAGCATTTGTGGTGACATCATGATCTTTTGCTTGCTAATGCATCATGGATTTGGGTTCATATCAATGCTGTATGGGCTCCCAGTTGGGTCAATACAACATTTTTTTCCTTAAAACAAGAAGAAAAATTTGAATCACACAGTTTAAGTGTCTGTATCTCCAGTGTGGTTTCCAAGTGGAAAAGAAATAAGGTGCTTAGTGTGAAAATGAATTTTCCCTTACTCGCATGTTGTCTGTCTTGTAGATTAAACTGCATTTCCTTCCCATCTTGTTCTTCTCATCTGGGGCAATATTATTTTTACCACTTTTAGGGTGGTGAAAGCAATATTAGGAAATGAACACAAAGACGAGGTGCGTACTGAGCCTTCAGTTTAGCACAAGTTCAGCCAGGCAACCCACCTGCATGGCTGGAAAGGCAGGGAGTGCACAGCTGGCCCATCAGAATAACATCCACCAACATGACGTGTTTTTTACACATTCAAAACCAAAGCAATTCCTTTCAGCAAACTGACAGAAAGGCTTTCTAAAGATCTGTGCTCACAGAGACTAGCAATTGGGATGGAGAAAATCCCGCTTTGTACAAATACAGTCATGGAGATAGTTAATTAATTATTTATTTATTGCTGGTTCTCCATTGATTTCTGTAGTGTTGGACAATGAGGTGCTGCTTGGCTCTGAAAAAATTCAGATCTCTAAACGCCATGTTCTTTTCCTCTATTTTTTTTTGTTTTAAACATTCAATGAGAAACTACTTGGTGTAATAGATGTGAGTTTCAGCTTTCAACACTGAGGACACTTCTGTTTGAGGTATTTGGAGATGTTTTGATCATTTTTTAGTTTATTAAGTAAGCAACCAAATTACAGGGGAAAAAGAAAAGGTATTTCAGTTTAAAATGTAGCACCATGGTTAGCGGATGGCTCTCCTTTACAACAAGAAAAGATACTGGGTCCTGCCCATTTCTAGAGGCAAAATATAATAAGTCATGTAATTCAAACCACGTAGTTTTGAAAAAGATCATGAGAACATGGGAATTGTTATATTTCTTTCTGACTCTGAGAGAAATCTGTTATTACAGTGCCTTATTTGGGGATAGCATCAGAATACTGACAGAGCTCTTGAACAAATCCAGAAAGCGTTGTGTGAATTTGGTGACAGAACAACATTGCATATCACTGAAATTCCATCCTTGGAAATGTTGTGTGTCTGGGCTAGGCCATACCTGCTACTGTGTGTTATCAGTGGCTTTTTTTTTTCAGATGATTTGGAATAAAAAGAATGGGGGGATAAGAAAAGAAAGGAATCTGAGGTCCTTTATCTACAGAACCTGGTAGGACACTTGAGCCAGAGCAGGGCAGAGGATTGGCCATTCTAATGCTGTCAGTTTGCAGTGAGCCCACTGCTGTTCAAAAAATCAGAATATCTTCCATCCATGTGGAGTGTAGCAGCAGGAAATCACACAGAAAATCCCTATATTTCTTTTTAGTTGCCCAAGTCAGGGAGGTTTCTTTGTCTGACACTGTCAAAAATGCCGCTTTCAGTTTGTTTGTAGATGGATTTACAGATCAAAGAGTTGCTGGCAAATCCTAGTAAGCCTTTGTAGTCAGCTGTTCGCTGGATACTTCATTCTTGCCTCAGTTACTTGGGTATTAGTGGGAACAACTGAAAGCTGCCCAGCTCTGAGTGCTACAGAAGTACAAGAGGTTTTGAAAGCTTCAGGACTTGGCTGACAGCTGTATCCAGCTCTCATTGATAATAACTTCCAAATCTCAGAGAATTGCATGTTATGGATTGGAAATGTATTTGTGTATTTTTTTTAAAGGTAAGACAGAACTCAAAACAGTCTGAATACTTTTGTGTGAGATAACTGTATTAGGATCAAAGCTGCTGAAGCCACAGCAATGTTCCAGTTCCCCATGTAACTCAGTGAGAAAGAAACCAGGGTAATAGCATTTATTTTCAGTAGAAAAGAGGCATGGAAAGGTTCATGCTCCAGTAAGTTTATATGAGAGCACTTAATGAAATCAAATCTGAAATACTTCTTTGGCCATAGAAATACATTGCAATAGCATCCCAGTGTCTTAAGTTTGGCTTGGTTTATGATCTGTTTGATGTGGGATCAGAACCAGGTACTGGCCAAGAGGTTCCATACAGTGGAAATATTTCCATGTGCTTTGTGGTGTGCACTTCCTTGAGCTGGCTGTGCCAGGGAGGTATGTGGTGTCCCTGGAATATTTCTGTATGTATGCTATGTATGTTGTGAAGCATACATACACACTCAGGCAGACTGATTAAAAAAGATTGTGTTTGGGCACTAATTTCAAGAGAGCTTTGTGCAGTGAGCTGACTCACAGAGATTTTTAAAAAGATTACAGTAATAATTAAAAATCTCCCACTCTTGGTAATCCATGTCACAGGTGTTCTGATGCAGAAGGGACCTCTCACCAAGTGCTGCCCAAATCTAAATCATTTCACTTCAAAGACTTGGGTAGATTTAACTCATTGCCACTCGATTTTGGATGATCCTAAAGCATCAAGGCAAAGAATTGTTGAGACTGTGCCTAGAGCTGTGCACGTATCCATGTGACAGCAAACATCAGTGTGCATTTCTTTGTATTTCAGTGATATTAAAGGATATTTAAGGGTATTCCACGGTTTTGGTGAACAATCACCAATCTTTGAGAATATCTTGCATTTGGAAAAAAAAAAAAAATTTAAACCAAGGTAAATTCTAATGGAATTGTGTGAAAATGCTCTTCAGGTGTTTGTTTTTCTGATGTTTGCACTACTGAAATATCTTATGCTCCATCTGAGTTTGTGTTGGACTTAGTGGAACAGAGGACTGAAACTAGTGGAGCACATTATAGTGCTCTCAAATCCTTCACAGGTTTCTGACCACTGCTGCTGGACATGGGCTGTAACGAGCCCCTGACTTTCAGCTCACTGCTTCTCTTGAACATGCAGTGATACTTCAATTCTGATCTGATTTGTTGGCTCAGAAGAGCAGCGGGGGGAAGGCAAAGAAGAAGGCACCAATCATTCTCTTCAGTCATCAGATATATTCAGATGTTTATCTTCACTGCTTCTTATTTGGCAGTTTTAGAAAGTTTCCTTGCCAAAACCTGAGGAGCAGAGTTGGAAGAATAATCTCTGCCTCACAGCATTTTCAGTTCAGTAGGCAGCCAGTGGAACTTCTTGGCCACAGCATAGAGCAGTGATGTCCCAAGGCAACCTCTGGCAATAGAAAGGGGGTTAACAACAGCTGAACAAACAACTGCTTGCTCAATCTTCCCCTAATACTTTGCATGCTATCCAGCTTGTGATGAAAGCAACAACAATTTGCATCTCTGGGTTTGCTTATTGCTTCCCAACAAGTAGCCTTCTGTTCATTTCTCTATTTAACTATTTATTTGTTTTGGAGAGATTCAGCTTCTCATATGCTAAACAAAGCAGCAGATAACCTTTAGACCCAGCATGGAACATTTTCCTCAGGTTTGAACATTAGCATTCAGAACCCAATCCTTTTTTAGCTGTTGCTTGGTGTAACGTTGCAGGAATACATCTAACCCAGCAGCATGATGCTTTCCTTTCTCTCCCCCAGCTTCTGGTCCTGAGAGAGCAGGCTGTCTCTTTTCATGCTTCCATGCCCTATGGTTAATCATAGAGCAAGGACAGCAGAGGTAATGTGGTTTTATGGCGTCAGTACTGGGAAAAGCACCACCTTAGTTCCATGCTGGATGTGAAGAGTGTTATTTCCATACCATGTTCCAGTTTAGATAGTGGCAAGCTGTGTTTAACCCAGTTGAACTGCTTTTCTTTGTAACAGGTGAATAGTTCCCTGATTTGCTCTGGAATTCAGTGCAGAAGGTACAGCTCAGTGCTGTTGTGTCTCCACTGCGCCATTGAGAAATGGGTGTTCCCTGTCACATAGAACAAAAATCAGGAGATTTCTGAACCTCCTGTGCACTGCTGGCATCATGGAGTGCTGATGGGAGGGGGCCAGCAGGCTGCAAGGGAGCACTGTGGAAGTCCAGTGCTCTCCACAACTTCTTTTCACACCCCTGAGTAATAGGTGAATGTGTCTTCGTGGGATCCAGGCTGCTTTTGTGGCTTCTGTCTGTTCAGCTTCAGGAAACACGAACATATCTCTGTAGCTGAAATGAGAAAGGAAAAGCAGTTTGCATCTCCTCGCTGAATGCAAAGAGCAGCATTCACCTGCTGTGAGAAGCGGAATGAACCTGGATAACATATGCAAATGGAAGTGTTAGAAGAGAAAAAATATACCAATTGGTGAATTTGAATTATAAAGGGTTCCTATGACATAGTAAGCAGCTGTAGATCTCATTCAGGTTGTTGGGGTTTTTTTTTGTTGGTTTCGTTTGGTTTGGTTTTTGTATTTAATATTACTGTATTTCTACCATATTGGGGTAAGGAAAGCTGTTTGAGTGAATCTCTCCTGGACCTGCTGTGCTGCTACAGCCCACGCATGCGTGAGTGGAACATCTCCGTAGGGCAGCTCCTATGCCACGTGCGGTCAGATACGTCTCTCACTGATTTGTCGTTGTGTTCCTGTTTGCTTGTTTACCTCCATTTCATTTCTGTTTTCAGTCGACATGTGGTCAGTAGGGTGCATCATGGGAGAAATGGTTAAAGGTGCAGTGTTGTTTCCTGGCACCGATCGTATCCTTCCTCTCGGCCACTTGGCTTAGTGGGCACCCAACGCTTCCCCTCCAGTCCCACATACAGGGCTGCTGTAACACACACTATGCTGCATCCAAGCAGCGAGGCTCAGTCTCGCATCCAAATCCTTGAAGCCCAAATGTCTGTAAGCCATCACCTCACAGCCTTACACACAGCAAGCTTGTTTCTGGTTGTGCTGTGTTATCAAAGGCTGGACGTCATGAGTTTTTCCTGCCCCTGTAACTGAGAGTCCTTAAGTTCAGGCTGTGATGCAGTGGGCATAAGTTGCTGCTTATCCCAGAATGATGGGAGAGAAGCTCTGCAGTCAGTAGGCAGACAGGAGTAACTCAGGCCTGATTTCTGGTGTTGTGTAAGTGGTGCTGGGGTAGCAGAGAAGGAAATGGCCACAGGTTAGGGATTTTCACTGACAGAGTATATGTGCATAGTGTTAGACACATACTAATTCAATGTAGCGCTCCATTTGTGGCCTCACTCATGCTTTAAAGGGTACAATATTTTCATTAAAATGTGAAAAAGGAATATCTGAGGAGCACAAAATCATTGAGAGTAGGAAATGGCAGTAATAATATTTTCATGACCTCATCTAATAATGTTCTGCTTTGAGTTTTGCACCAATTGGCAACTGGAAGGACTGTTGGACTGAAAGGAATGCCAGAACTCCTGTGAGTTTCATGTGATCAGAAGTGCATCTCATGCCAGAACACCTCTCATTTCCCAACGCCCTTGGAACTTGCTAGCACTGTTAGTGTTCCAGGAGGGTCTTGCCCAGGTTGTGCCACTGTGTTTTCTGTGACTGGACAGGTAATAATTGCAGTACGCGTTGAGTGCAGCTCAGTGCTGCAGTTTGAACTACTTTAGAGCTTTGGACTGAAGTGTTGTAGGATTCCATGTGAGAAATATGCAAATAACCACAACAGAAATTCATTGAATCATGGAATGGTTTGGGTTGGAAGGGACCTTTAAGATCATCTTGTTCCAACCTCCTGCTATAGGCAGGGACGCATTCCTCTTAGACCAGGTTGCTCACAGCCCCATCCAGCCTGGCCTTGAATGCTTCTAGGGAGTGTGCATCCACAACCACACTGGGCAACATGTTTCACTGCCTCACCATCCTCACAGCAAATGATTTCTTGCTAACATCTAGTCTAAATCCACCCTCTTCCAGTTTAAAACCATTTCCCCTTGTCCTGTCCCTATCTGCCCTTAGAAAAAGTCCCTCTCCAGCTTTCCTGTAGGCCTCCTTCAGGTAGTAGAAGGCTGATTTAAGGTCCCCCCAGAGCCTTCTGTTCTCTAGGCTGAAGAGCCCCAGCTCTCTCAGCCTGTCCTCACAGGGGAGGTTCTCCAGCCCTCTGATCACCTTCGTAGCTCTCCTCTGGACCTGCTCAAACAGCTCCATGTCCTTCTTGTATTGGGAACCCCAGAACTGGGAACAGTGTACTCCAGTGCTCTCTCTTTCATGACAGCAGAGTAGTGGGGCAGAATCACCTCCCTTGATCTGCTGGTCACACGTTTTGAGTCACTGCTATCAATGAGGATATGGTTGGCATTCTGGGCTGCAAGCATACACTGCTGACTCACGTTAAGTCTTTCATCAACTGACACTCCCAAATCCTTCTCTTGAAGAGTGGTGTCAAGCTATTCTCCACCTGACCTATACCTGTGCTTGGGATTGCCCCAATCCAGGTGTAGGACCTTGCACCTGTGGCCTCGATGAACTTCACAATGTTGGCAAATTGGCTGTGTCCTACACAGTGCTTTAAAATTGCTTGCTTTCATGCAGCTGCAGAATTATTCAGAAGAACTCACAAAAAGCCTCCATAATTAAACCATTACGGAGTGTTTCTTATTGAAGCAACCCAGTCTGAAATCAGCACAAGCAGCTGCTGATACATTTGGGATTGTTCTGTAAATGGGCTGATGTTCTTCATTTGTGCTTAGAACACGCTGCTGAATTCGCACTGTGCTTTACGCTTTGCTCTGCTTTTCTCTATGTTCCACCAGCATCTGTTCAGCACCATAGGAAGAGGGCTGCTGCCACCACCAGTCAGCCAGCAGGGTGCCAGGGCCATGGTGCATCATGACTGCATGCAACATCACTGGCATCTCTGCAGTAGTGTGGTTACAAATGCTGACAGCAAAATTGTTTGCCTTCTCCCAGCAGTTAAGTGTTATAGAGCATTCCGCATCATTTCTGTTTCATGATCAAAATGGTCCATGCAGCTGAATGAAAACACATAATGACACGCAGAGATCTCAGGTGGTTGTGGAAGATTCACAAGCAGAAAATATTATGGTGTTAAAGCAGAATGGAGTGCTTGGTTCAGGTATGGCTCTGCTCCACTCATGGAGTATCTTTGAATTCCCTGAATTCAATTTGGATGGTGGAGCTGAGAGCAGAACTCAGTTGCTGTTCTTCTTTGAGACTCCAGTTCTGAGGAAATGCTTTGCAATGCCAGAAGTCCCTTAGGCCTTGCCTGAACCCTGGAAATATAAGATTTCTCCACTACTTCTGCTGCATGGACGTGATGGAGTTTAACATGACTTAAAGCTCCTTTCTCCCTTCTTTCACAATATTTCAAGATTGAGAGCTACTGCTTAGTTTTGCTTACAGACAAACTGTTCTCAGGAAGCTAGATCATGCTTTTGCCTCAAGCAAGGAGAGAAGGGCAGCATGATTGATTGTGTTGCCTTGGGAGCAGCATGGGAAGCTGCTGGGCCTGAAAGTGGACACCTATTCCATACGTTTTGCTCAGAGCTGTGTGTTTTTCTTCCCTCAGCACTACATGAATTACCTGAGAGTTAAGGAGTTGTCTTGGGTCCTTTGTATCTGGTGAGCTGTGTATCTGATGAGGCATACTGAGGTGTGTGTGTTTTTTTTACCTGCTGAATGCATATGGGGCACGTAAGGAAGAATGTGCTTTAAATTGAATAGTTTACAGGGAGATACAAACCACTCAGTAAAGAGATGTAAAATTCATGTGATGTGATGAACAAATGCCAGAGGTGGCCACACAAGATGTCACTTACAGAGTCTCATGCTACAACTGCAGTCTGTTTGTTGCACATCATATTGATTTTCACAGTGTTCGTACTGCTCCTTCTCAGTGAGGGACACCATCACCATGCATCCATCACAAGAACAGAAGTGTGTCACATCCATGATAGGAACTTGGGCACAGCCTGGATAAGTACAAGTAGATGCTGCAGTGATGAGAAGTCCATGAGGGAAGTGGTAAGATTTATCCAAGAGAAAGATTCAGTCCTATGCTGTAACATCTGGTCTGTCCACTCAGCATTGCAGCTTTCTGCTGCATAAGCAAAGATGCTCTGCAACTGAATGAAGTTGCTAGCTAAAAAATAAAAATACAGTAGAAAATTTTAACTAAGGCACTGTCGTACATCTCCATCTTAAGGGTTGGTGGCAGCTGCACAGCCATCACCACTGTCTTCTAACAGATGATCAGTGGTCATTTTTTGAAATCGCTTTTGTATGTGATAAGTGTGGTTTTTATATTCACACATTCTACAATACCACATATACTGTCACTGCTTATGTGGCAAAATATTTTTGTGGTTTAGTTTTTCCAAATGCCCCCTTCTTCTCAAAGCAATCCCCTTGTCACAGAAAATATCCCACATTTTCGTCTTGTCAAATGTTACCATTTTGTATTTCTTCCATGTTTATTGTAAATTGTGCTGACATCAGTATGTAAACTATGGTACCATGAGGAAAAATAAACTTGTCTTGCACAGATGACTTCTGCAGCAGTGTGGGTTGGGTGTTTTTCTGAATGGGGGGGAGAGAGAAAGAGAGATCTAATGTCAAAACTGGGCTTGGTTTGAGCCAACCATGTTGCAGTTTGTACAGTTTGGTGTTAGGGTGAGGAATGCAGAGCTGCTCACAGTAATTCAACAAGTTGGGTACATCAAAAATTGGGATTAAAAAATGCAGTCAGTTTTCATTGATGGAAAATACACTTTTAAGGAGAAAACTCCCAGAAGGGTCATCCTTTAAGGTCTTGAGGTGATGATAAGATAAATTCACCCTCTCTTTCTGTTATGAGGGAAGAACGCCATGACCAGGTCATGTTCGTGGTGCTTACATTTAAATATGAAAGTGAGATTTGACATTCTCCTGTTCTACCCGACTCCAGAAGATATGTGTTAAGACAGAAGGTGCAAATCCTGCTCTGATGCAGTGAGACCAGTGGGGTGTGTGCATAATAGGTGAAGATTCCAGTCTGTTGGTCAGGAAAACATGATGTTCTGCCACCCAACATGGCTTCAAAGCCCTGATAAATGCAGGCATTTTGGTGAAATAACCAAATAATAGGGTTCACACATACAGTCTTCAGCTGCTGTTTGAGGAGGATTTGGGAAAGAGACACTGTTATCAGAGTTACACTCTGAAGTAATGTGGAATAGCAGTGCTTGGTCTCTGGGCATGGCTTGGCCATTGGATTTGCAGCAGGAGACTTTTATTCCTCCCTCTTCTCACCTTTTTCAGGAGAATAAACAAATGCTAATTAACTGCTGATGGTTAAACAGCTGAGCACTCTCAGGGAAGAATGAGGGGCTAAATGTTAGTGTATTATAGAGCATCATCATCCTATTGCAAGCAGTATCTCCTACACAGTCTTGTTGAACTTAAGAAAATATAATTATTGACTAAAAAACTATCATTCATGTAGTCAAAATATTAGAAGAGAAAAAAAATATTTGTATTTTGATCCTAGCTAGCTTAAGCACAAGGGCAATGATTTCTACATTTCTTTCTTTAATCACTAGCTTTTTTTTTTTTTTTTTTTTTTTTTTTGTGCAACTGCAGAAGTTCTTTCTGTAGAATTTATTATTGTTATTATCTTTATGGTGAAGTACTGTAAATTTTCTCTCCTAGCTAAGCTGTATTTCCTTATTTTTTGCATAATTGCAGGAGTATAATGGAACTCAAGGCTTCAGTGCAGCTAAAGGAACAAAATGTGGTTCTTGTAAATTGCAACTTACAATTGCATCAGAGGGAACAGGAGCAAAAGTGATGAACTTTTAGCCTGTACATCTCAATAGTTGGCTTCACTGTAAAAACAGAGTGTTGTGGGTTCTTTAATACAAATTCTTTACGGTGCATTCAGCATACTATGTTTTTCCATTAGTAACTTTGTTGGTTGGTGTTGCCATCAGCCAATAAACCTGGGCCTGGACCACCCTCTCTCCTCAGTACAGTTGCTGTGCGCATAGCTGGTGTGTTTTCCTCAGTCCTGTGTTTGGGTAGGGGACATCTGAGGTGACTGATATATAGACCACGGTGAAAAGGCTCAATGGTACCCATAGATCACTTGGTTACACAGAACCAGTTCCTGTGACCAAAACTTGTCTTTTTCAGTCTGCCAAAGCTGAGTGTTCCCCAGAAAGGCCTCCATCCACAAACCATACTGTCACCCTTGATCTTCTATTCACATTCTTTATGAAAAGCTCAGGGTACTCCTTGATCAGCTTACAGCCCCAAAATCTTCAGTTTTTTGTTTAGGAAAAGGTGTTTAAAATATATTTTATTATTTTAAATACTTTTTATTAGGCTGTAATTTTAAATGTGTTATTTTATTGATTTATCTATTTATTTATTTAGTGCTCAAAAAAGACATTTCAGGAGAGGCCAACTAAGTCTCTGCTGAGTTTTCAAATCACGTGAGAATCCCTGGTTTCCATTTCCATTTCCCTGAAGATCTGAACAGCTGCTGCACCAGCAGTCTACTTTTTGCCCACTGGTATGTGTTTTCTGTTACTCTCATTCTGTGGGCCCACTTTTTCTCCTGGATTATGAGGAAGTGTGTTTTGTATTTGTCTGACTCCTCCACTGTTATGACAACAGTAACATACACGAGCAATACAAATACCATTCCTGTGCTGAAAAGCTGTGGATGTTATCTCATAAAAGCTTATTCCCTGTAGGTGCTTCCAAAGCACCGATCACCACATTTCGTAGTGTAAATGTTCCCAAGTCTGCATGTGCTTCTCCCCCCACACTTTCTTTTTTATCCTGTCATCAAATTCTTAGCACTATGAATTAGCATGATGTAGAAGTGGTGCTGTTTTTCTGGACATACACTTAACTTTTTTTTAGGCACAGTAAATTCTGTTTCTGAGCATGGCTGCAAGAACCACAGGTCATCTATCTCATGTGTAGTGATTGGCTCAAGGAAACAAAATCTGAAGGAGAAAACTGAAGAGTTCAATACAAATTGCTTGTAATAAGATTTCTTTTTAAGCACAAAAACCTGTTTCCTACCTGTCACTCACACACCTGTGGTTGGGTTTGGGTGTGTGCAATGCTTATAGATAATACAGACATGTGAGAGATCTGTGTCCTTGGTGGGCAGGAGTACCCAGGGGCATAATAATGGAAAAGAGTGCATCTGCAGAGGCTGGAGGGAATGGGAACCTCTGGGGATTTCCAGGTAATGGTCATACAGGAGGATTGGGGTCTGGGGCTTGTGTTGGGTTTTCCTTAACTCCCAATGTCCAGATATTGACCAGTGGAATAAAGTCATAGAGCAGTTGGGAACACCCTGCCCAGAGTTCATGAAGAAGCTGCAGCCAACTGTACGAAACTACGTGGAGAACCGGCCCAAGTACGCTGGCCTCACCTTCCCCAAACTGTTTCCTGATTCTCTCTTCCCAGCTGACTCAGAACACAACAAGCTCAAAGGTATGTACCATATTTGCTTGTCATTATCTACTATGCAAGGGAGGTTTCTTCCACTTTTTCTTCTCTGTTGTTGCATGCCTATTTAATACGTTCAGTTAAGAAGACTTGATGATGATGCTACTGGATATACTGCTCCATGATACATACAGTGACATGTTTAGCAATGACTTCAATCATGTATTGAAGCCACTGTTTAGCTCAGCAGGACTTAGATCTTCAACTAGAAAGAGTGATTAATGTATGTTTGTTATCAAAAGAACTTCTCATTGCAAATCTGGAACAAACGTGCTGAGCATCTGTCTTGCATCTCCTCAGTTCTGCTGGGTGCTTACAGGGGTGACCCTTAATGGCTCTCAGCTGCTTGCAAGGCGCATGCCAGCACAGTACCCAGAATTATTACTCTTCAGTTAACAGCTGCTTCATAGAATGGCTACTGTGAGGGCAAAGAAAAAGGTCTGAGAAAACACCTTGGGACATGCAGAATTCTGTACTCCTCCTCCAACAAATTTGGATAATGAATTGGATTTGGAACTAATGAAAGAAATGATTGTCAAAACACGTTGTGATTTTGGATGCAAGAAGTGCATTCATTTGAGCCAGTTAGTGCCACTTTCAGGATGCAGTGTCAGAACAGAAGAAACAGTGCCTTAAAAAATTTTGCTTCTGCATCACTATACCAACCCATGTCTTGCTTCAGTAATTCTCTGAATAATATTGGCAGTTCCCTTTGATACTGCTTTTACTATCAGATGAGATAACTGATAAGTTACACTTTATACGATGTTCTTCTTTACGTTTGTTTTTTCTTTCATGTTTTCTGTGGTGTGCTACAGAGTAAATAATTCTGAGTGTGGGATTCCTGGAAACATGCTGCTAGGAGTAAGAATTGCTGGTGTTTTTCACATGAGTTTAGGCAGTCTTTATTAAAAACTCCAGAAAACAATAATGATTTTAAAAAAGAAGGAAAAAAAAAAGTAAAGAAAAGATTATGGAAAGCTGAGCCTGTTCTGATAGGCACCTGTTATCTTCAGGTAAAATCCATCGTGGCAAATCACAGAGCTCACCATGCATATAGGGCTCTGATTTTCCTATAACCCAGGTGAGGATAATAAGTGTGGTTGCCAATCACAGTGTTTTCATGCTGTCCATGCTGCAGCCAGCCAAGCTCGGGACCTGCTGTCCAAAATGCTGGTCATCGATCCAGCCAAGCGCATATCGGTGGACGAGGCCCTGCAGCACCCATACATCAATGTCTGGTATGACCCCGCCGAGGTGGAGGCGGTGAGTGGGGTGCAGCTCTGTGCTGCAGGCTGGACAAATGCGGGGATGGTGCATGGGTTCCTGCTGCTTTACAGCAAAATGCTGAAGCCCAGAATTAGGCAAATTGTAGTGGAACATAAGTTCCTACAACGATGGATGGACTAACGTGTGTTCCTGGGCTATGGGACATAGTATAACATGGGTATAAACTCAGAGGTGTTTGAAAGCGGTTTATGGAAAGAGCACTTCTTTTCATAGAATCACTTGGGTTGGAAAAGACCTTGAAGATCGTCGAGACCAACCACAACCTAATCATACTACCCTACTAACCCTGTATTAAATCATGTCTCTGAGCACCACATCCAAATGGTTTTTAAACACATCCAGTGATGGTGACTCATTTTTCTTTAAAAAACGTAAAGTTTCATCAGTCTGAAATGCGAACTAAGAACTGCAGCCACTTCCATACAACCATACAGATGTATTAGTTTCACAAAAGCAAGGTCAGATATGCCCCTAGTTTCATGTTTTGTTTTTTATATACGTTAACTATAGTCTGTGTTCTATATGTGGCCCAAAACAATTCTTCTTCACTCAGTGCAGCCCAGGCAAACCAAAAGATTGCTTACTTTTCAGCTGTGGTATTTAATACACAGTCAGTGCAAATTATTTTAGTCTGATGTCTATTTGGTGCTCTGATTGTCCTTTGCCTGTGCGAAAGTTCTGTGTATGGGATTTCCAGGCTCAGCACGAGCAGAATGATGGTAGCACTGACCAAATTCCATTGCAGCACAGCTGTGCCTCACGTTCCAAAGAGTTCCAAAGGATGAGGGAGAACCACTGTCTGCTTTAAGAGCCGATTTCCAGAGATGATGACACTTTTAATATTCATGTTTCTGGGTGTTCTGCACATATGGGATGATGAACAAAGCGGGAGAGGAGAATTTATCTTTACCTAAGTAGTGCTAATTATTTATGATATAGTGAAAAATGTACTGAGTAGTTTTGTTTCTCTTCTGCAGCCACCCCCCCAGATCTATGACAAGCAGCTGGACGAGCGGGAGCACACCATTGAGGAGTGGAAAGGTGCGCACAGCTCAGAGTTAGGTGGAGAAGTCAGAGGTCCCACCCCACGTGCATCAGTGTAACTCCTCTGGCAGCAAGAACCAAACCCAGCCCTATGAACTGCTGCTTGATAATGAAAATATTGTATAGGTCACTCTGAAAGTAATGCTTCCTTGCATTTCCCTTGGAAATGACAGCAGATACAAAGAGCACAGTAACACTATTTTCTAGAGCAAATTCTCAGCCAAAAAAATGCTGTTTTTCCGCATAATCACTACCATTACTTCTGCATTTTCACAAGTGATGAGGTCAGCCTGCATGCAGCTTTTGTGAATCTGCATGACCTTACTCTTGGAGCAGCCCTCACAGATACAAATACCCTAAGTACTGTCATTATCAGTGCGGATTACATTGTTTCATCAAAATGTTAAGTTTCCTCCTAGAAAACAGGAGGGTTAGCCATCATTTTTCTTATAGCAGACAAAGTTGTACTGCTCCGTTTCTAGGTAAAGCAGAGTGAAACAATGAATGTGTTCTAGTGTAGCCCTGTTTGTCTCAATTCAGCTCCAAGAAGAGCTTGCAGTAGAGGAGGGGATGATGGAAGAGAGAGAGGTTTTACATGAGAAGAGCTGTCAAGACTTATGAGGACAACGTAGTGTTGGCCTGTGGGGGGCACTGTTTCATCAGAGGATTTTGTTGTTGCTGATCACGGGCACAGTTCTTGTCTGTAACTGTTGCAATTCTCTGTTCCAGAACTCATCTACAAAGAAGTAATGAATTCTGAAGAAAAAACGAAAAATGGCGTAGTAAAAGGACAGCCGTCTCCTTCAGGTACTCAGCCCCAGTGAATAGCATGGATGTGTTTTCTGTGCTGACAGGAAGAAAAGAGAAATAGCTGAAGTATTTGGGTGCTCCAGAAGATATATAGACTAATTCCAGAGGTTTCAGGGCAACTTGGTGTTTTAGTGGGCTGAGCTTTATTAATGGAACTGCAGTACCATATTAATGCCTGAAATGAGGTCTGCTTGGAATTTGGGACTGAGCTGCCCTGGTAATAATGGTAAATAATATTTATGGTTGTGATTGATGTTTAGTTGTGTTACTGATAACTTCATAGAGGTTCCTCATTTTGCAGAGTCAAAATGATTGTGAAGGTTAATGCTGTCATTTTACAGAGGACAAGTGAACTGTGATGCACAAAAATGCTGTTACAACCAAAATCCTGGGCCTGGGCACCAAGTCCTTAACTGAGAGAGAAAATGGCTTTGCCTCCCCACACCCATGTCTGCACTGTCACCAGATGATCTCATACCAGCCCATGTATTGGAGAGCTGTTGTGTTTGGTTGGTCGGGTTTTGTTGTTTGTTTGCTCATTGAGTCCTCATGCTGATGCTCACATGGTTGCAGCTGTCATCTGATTGTTGGGTGTTGGTAATGCTAAGGAGACTGATAAGGAGTGATAAGGATGGTATGTAAAACAAAATAAGATGGCGTGGTAAGAAACCGAGGGATAGGACACGGCATGAACTGTAATTCTTCCAAAGAGACTGCAGAGAGGGAGAGTTTCTGGGTAAAATATCTGATATTACCCAATGTCTGAAGCCTGTAGGGCCCATTTTCTGCTTGTGTTGTTCAGAACACTCTGAACATCGCCACAGGGTTGCGTTCTCTGCTCTTTGACCTGTGAGAGGTTCTGGGGTTTCGGGTTGAATCACGGTGGTGTTCATTTTCGTAGCACAGGTGCAGCAGTGAACAGCAGCGAGAGCCTCCCCCCATCCTCATCAGCCAACGACATCTCCTCCATGTCCACGGATCAGACGCTGGCGTCCGACACGGACAGCAGCCTGGAAGCGTCGGCGGGGCCACTGGGGTGCTGCAGGTGACTAGCCGCCTGCCTGCGGAACCCCGCCTTCTTCAGGGGGTGACGGCGTCCAGAGGGAAAGCAACAGAGCTAAGGGACGGAGGGAAATAAAATGCACAGATTGAAATGAAACAAACAAATCTTTTCCGCCTGCTTCTCCTACAGAGCTATGTAATGCAGCTCAGCTCAAGTGTGTATGTAACTCATAGTTGCTCTGCTTCGGTCTTCTGATGATGCTTTCTGGGGTGGGGGAGGAAAAGGATTCTTCGGATCCTTTTTTTTCCCACCCTTACAAGATGCAAAATTAATGGCTGCAAAACCAGCAACCCACAGCTGTCCTGTAACGCTGGCATGACAAGGTGCGCAGTGCCACTCCACAACACACCAGTGCGGATCTGCCCTCACTCTGCTCTGTTGTCTCCTGCTCCCTGGGGCAGGTATGGATATACGGTTAGGGATTTGCAGATAGGGATACACACACATTTTTTTCCCCACGCATGAAGATCACACACACACGCCAGTAGAGTTCTGGCTGTGTGTGCAGCTGTGTGCCTGCAGGCACACATCAATCTGCACTCATACTCAGTGCACCACGCAACTACATGGCCCATTTCAGGTGAGAAGCATACATACAGGGGTGCTGTTACCCATGTATATGTCGTGTCCTTGGTCATGGATGAGGCTGCGCAGCTTGTGCAATGATTTGTGGAAGTGAAAATAACCACACTGAGCTGTGGCTCCCTCAGAACCTTGAAGATGTAACACCAATGTTTTTGCTGATAGCTGTATATATACTTAAAGTCAGTTTATGCTGGAGGATGGTGCTGCAGAGCTTCACACAATGTTTATGAATATTGGGAAGAGTTCTGATTTTTAAAGCAGATACACTCAGCTAAGAGCAAGTTGAAGGAAGCACATCATGTGTTTTTGCAAGGCATGGGGAGCAAGAATGGAGATTCTTTGTGCATGTGTATGCCCAGAAAGGTTTATATCATGAAGCAAACTTCTTCTGTCCATATTCAGTGAATTCTCTTTATTTATAGAGGGACTCACTACTGTGAGTTCCAGATATATTTGTGTGTTAGGGAACATTATAAGTTTGGGGAACAGACAGACCACAGTCAAAAGGACGTTTGATGTTTATTTTTGTTTTTTTTTTTGTTTGTTTTTACTGAGTTCAGCACTGGGATATCTGCAGCCCTCCTCAGCATGTTTGTGACCAAGAGATGGTTTCTCCTTTACGTCATTCCCTTGCAGGGATCTCCATCACTGAGCAAAGACCACCCTTCCCTAGGTATCTTTGGCCATTCCTTTGCTTTTGACAAACCATCCAGCTCCTTGGAAGTGTTACCAGCTGTGTTACATGGAAAAGATACACAGAGCGGGTCCACAGAAGTGAAATGTTTTTCCGAAAGTCAACAAGAAAAACTGTTTAGAATATTTTACTGGATACTTCAAATTTACCAGTTATAAAGTATTCCAAATTTTCTTCTGTTCTCCTGGAATACAGCTGCTCTGTTGGGTGGCTCACACACCTGCTGTTCTGCTGTAGGACCGGAAAACAATTGGAGTAGCAGGTCAGATTTTCTTCAAAGGGAAAAAAACAAGAAATGAATCTTCTCTCCAGGGTGCTGAGGAAGGAAGATATAAATGCATATAAAGTCATTTCAGACCTGGTAGCAGATCTGTGCTGTAGTAGGACATGATGTGGTTTGTTTTTTTTTTCCTCCAGGGATGTTTTTGGTTGATCTTTTGGGGAAAAAAAAGAAAATACAATTAGGTCTATGATTTTCTAAAAACTTGTAACAGTAACTGTGAAAGCAATAATTTACCACTGCTAAAAGAGTTAGCAATATTCTTTCTTAAGCCATGAAGCATCAAGTCGTTGTTCGGTGATGTGATGCTCACTTCAGTGCCAGTGATCATAAAAGTAATCAAAGCAAACAGCAATGCTTTGTAAGCGTGAAGGCAATAACACCACGGTGACTTCCTAGCAATAATGAAATGTCTCACCTCCAGATTTTAATCATCATACCTATAAATAGTACTTAGATAACCCAGTATCTTTTCCCCATTCCTTAGTTTGTACCATTCTAGTGCATTATTTGACCCCTCACCACAAAGAAATCTCTAAGAGGCAGAGCTGCATGTAAGAGAAAGGGCAAAAATTGAACAGATGCAGAATGTTAGCATGAGGAATATGCTGTTCATCACCAGCCATGTTATGGAGATGTGACAGATGCGGTAGCAGAAGAGCCACTTACAGTGGACAGGTGCTTGCAGATCTCCCATGTTTTACAGTGAGTCCCATAGCATAATTTGGTCCGGTTTGGGTTCAGGACTGCTGGGCAGCAACCTGGGAAGCACAGAATATATTCTGCAGATGGGCAATGAATGAGCCTATAGCACAGAATGTATACTGCTGTGTTCCCAGCAGCCAATTCTTCTAACAGCAGTGCTGCACAAATGTTTGGTGGCTACCATAGGGATGCCTATCAAGTTTCACAACTAGCATGTGCTTCTGTCTTGTGTTCAGTAGTGCTCAACACAAGCGCATGTTGAAGTGCCTTGCTGAAATGGGCCCATAACAATGGCTGCCTTTGGTTTTGGCAGTAAATGAGTTCATCTCCTCTTTAAGAAGCTCTGTTTGCAGGAGGAGACTTAGGGCTGTCCACATTGGACACCAGAAAAAAAAGCCATTGATAACACAAAGCAATAGTCTCTTTTGGTCTTGGTCCTCATGTGACCTGGCCACGCTGCATGGTGGCTGCCACATAGGGTGTTTCCTCTGTGTCTGTGGGTTGTTGCTGCCAACTTTATCCTACAGGAGAGTGAGCACCCTCCAATATGGATGACACTGGTGGAATCTGTAGCTATCCTAAGGTGCAGACAGGATATTCCTTACAGATCCTGGAATTTGGAGACCCTTCTCTTCAGGTCCTTTTCTTACTATCCCAAAGCTCTGTGCAGTGTGACCATAGCAGATGTATTTTTTTCCTCCTTTACAGTGACCTTCCAAAGCTACCTCTTCCATTATATGGTCAGTACGTATGACTTCAGGAACAATTTTCAGCTCATTCTCAAGTTTGCAGCTGTAGGTAAAGAGATGTAAAGAATTGGTAGCACAGAGGTGTAATGGCAGTTTTTTCAAAGCATTGAGGCACTGAAACGGCCATCAGACTCTTGGCAGAAGTGCAGCAATGGCAGCACTTGTTTTTCAGTAAGAATTGCTCCTGAAAGACGTCCTTCCTTCCCTTTTCTTTTTACTGATGAGTTTAACTGAGCATTGATTTACTTTGAGTTGATGGAAGGTTGCATGTGTTTTCAGTCCAGCGGTAAATTTTGACATCATTCTTCAGATGCTCACTCGTCAGCCAGAATAGTGTGTACATATTCCATCAGTATATAACGTGTCTTCAGTGATTTCGGGTGTTTATTTGGGTTGGTTACAGACTGAAATATTTGAATGATGCTAATGCTGGGAACCCACCCACACTATTCAGATTTCCATGGCATGGATACATACAGGCATTTGTAGCATATAAAGGAGAGCTCAGATTGGAGTGCAAGTATTATAACTTGTAAAAAAAAAAAAAAGAAAAAGAAAAAAAAAGAAAGAAACATAAAGCCTGGTGAGTGCTTCCCTACAGCACTACAGTTTATCCTCTGGCAATGATCAATTCCTGCCTGATGCTGGCTGACCTCAGGAGGTCATGTGAGCCAAGTGGTAATGTCACTACACCATTCTTGTACTTTTATAACAGAAACCGATCATAGGTATTTACATTCATTTACATAGTTTTACGTTTAAGATTTGGGCTAATAATCCTGAAGAGATGAAATCTGTCAGTATGCCTTTAGGAATTTTTTCAAAACGCTGCCACGACACTGATATGGATTGTGTTCTTCTTTCCCCCCAACTTATTGGCTCACAGAAATATGCCAGTAGTCCATGTTAGAACTGCCAAAGGGAGTCAGGCATTTCATCGCTACAGAATAGAAATATTTTAATTTGAAATAACCTTTAAAAGCCACTTATATGACGAATGTTGCAGGATTTTATGTGATCAAAATCAACAATTCTAATTTCAGATGTGTTTCTTTTTATGCTTACCATCGTTTCAAATTTTTGTGTGAATTCAAGCGTACAGAATAATGAAAATCTTTTTCCCCTGAAGTTTGTGAGATGAAAACAATGCATTTCCCAGCAAACTCCGTGTGCTTCCAGGGAGAGCAGTTTGGAAGGAAACCTGCAGGGGAGAATCAGCCTTTCCTTTTAGTAATCTGCAAAAAAAAAAAAAAAAAAAAAAAAAAGTAAGGCAGCTAGGAGGGTTTTACTTGACCTGTAGGTTGTGTATGTGTGTGAAAGAAAGAGAAGTGCATGCAGGTGTGATTTTTAGAACACCAGTGTTGTACTCATATTTGACCCAAATTCTCATTGTGGATAAAGAGTGTAGTTGTGACATAGCAGCACATCTTCAAGGAGCTGAGGTTTGTGCTTATTGAACTTCCACCACCTTCACAAGGGCATGAAGGTTCACTGACTGTGAGCTCACAGTGACCTTGTTCACATACACATGCATGCTGAAAGAAAATCATTGTGCACAAGGTCTGAATATTCCACAAGTCAGTAATGTCTCACTTAGATGTTTGGGGGCGCAGGGCAATTAGTGAGTGTGTCACCTTCACTGATGAGCTGGAAAATAGAGTTGTCCATGGAACTGAGTGCTGAACGTATTCGCAACTTTGCCAGTGCAGCCATTTTTTTTTCTTCCTTGTGATTTTTTTTTTTTTAATTTTTTAAATTAACTATTGATTGCAAGAAATGAATGGTTTGACTTCATTTTTGTTCAGGCTCTTTGACCCATAGCAAGTTTGAGTTCTAAAGAGGGTTTGATTCGACAAAAGAATGTTGAAAAACTCCACCTGAGGCTATTGGTGCCTTCTTAGCTGAGAGTGAAAAGCTGAAAAGCACATACTAAAGGAGGACAGTCATTTTGGGAAGTAAGTGTATCCCTCCCA